ATACTCTTAAGTGAAATAAATAGGAGACACGTGTAAATACCGAATAGTTTCTCTAGTGTGAGAAACTGAAAGTGTAAATAAGGATTAAAAGGATTAATAATGAATAATTGATACTGTGAAATAGGAAAAGGTCCAAAGGGGTAGGGGTGGTGGGAGGGGGTGGGGAAAGGAAAGAAGGGAAAGGAAAAATTATGAGAAAAGAAAAAAAAATGGAAACGAAGTCTATGTAAATAGGGAAGGGTGGAGGGGGTGAGGGGTGCACAGGTAATGGGGGGAAAAATGAAAATCAAGATACATCATGTACAGGTAAAACCACCCAATGGTAAATGTAAACATACTGTATACCTAAAATGTACCAATAAAAGAATTTAAGGAAAAACAAAGATACAGAATTTTAAAAACCTGATAATCAGATGAGCCTGGTTATCAAATATCTCCACTTAATGAGATGTACTATCAGCTAGGTCTCTGAGAAAAAAAAAAAGATTGAAAAGGCATACACTGTAATGACATATAATGGTCAGACTATTCTCTGGTATCACTTACCTCCTGCAGTGGAATTGTGCATGCTTAGTCTGTAAAATGGCGGCCATTCTATTAACAAAGCAAAATACATGCCAACAGTTCTGTACACCACCTCCTACCTCCATGGGTTAGCAACTTGTAATGGGTTCTACGAAGAACAAAAAGATCCCAAGAGTAGAGATAACCAAGGTTCACTACACCATAGCTTTGATAAAGATGGAAGCAATGGGCTTCTTGGAGAATGCCCATTTAAGACCTTCAAGGATGAACAGGAGTTAGTCAAGTGAAATAACAGGGATTCCAGGCAGAGGGAATAGTTTGAGTAAAGCCAGAGGTGGGAAGCTACATGGTACAAAGGGAAACAGCATTCAGGCTGAATCGCGAAACATCTGTACCAAGTTGGAAAGATAGGTATAAGCTATACATAATATGGCTTAACTTTGGAAAATGTTTTTCTTTGTTTTTCTTGGTAGATAGGCAAGAGGGAACCAATAAAAGGTTCCAGGCAAGGGGGCAGGTGGCTGGTTAAATTTCCACTTTGGATCAATTTCCTTGGTAAGATTTTCATGTGTGAACGAACTGAGCAGGTTCTAGACAAGTCAAAGGGGCATGTTAGCAAGATGAGCACGTCATGAAGGAAGGCTGCCTCCTGAAAAGATGCACCCTTTTCAGTGCATCATAATTAGAGGAAAACACAGATGGATAATATACTTTTTAACAGATAAAGGGATCCTGTAGTTATGAAGTCACTAAATACCCAAGGGCACTGAATTTAAAGAAAATACATTTGGATGTTTTAATGGCAGAGAGAAAACTCAAGGTTGCATTAAGGGTAGGAATGCTAGAAGAGACCAAAATTGTGTTGAAGGAAGAAAAACTAAGGACACTTAGTAAAGGAGGAGCAGATACTGTGGAATAATAGAAAGTTCTTCATAACTTGGCACTAATTCCTCAGATTACCTTTAATCAGGCCAGTCCAAAAGTTGTAAACACAACCCAGTTTGCTGTGCTAGTTCTTGACAGAAATGTCAGTATGTGTAGAAATATGTATTAGTGATATTTAGTATTTTAGGTATTTATTTTACAATAGTGGTATAAGCCATTTTTAAGGATAATTTTAGTTTAGTTTTCAAGGTCCTAGTTTGACTCAGATTGGAAAGGTGGGCTACTACAGCCTTAGATGGGCTCAGCCAGGACAAGGAAAATGAAAATAAGGTATTGCTAGTTTCAATTATGTGTAATTGTTCTATCACATTAACATACACTATTGAAAAATGCCAACAAACTTCCATTGAACAGGTTTAAAACCTGTTAACCTCATTCTTGTAACTGCCCTTCCAACAGCATCTGAATCATAACACTAGAAAGGTAAATATACTAAAAATAATCATTTAAGCCCATTAACCATTTACTTCTTACATCAGATTTTAATAGATTCTGAAATACAATTAAATTTTTTATAAAACAAGAATTCCTTTTGGGTGGAATGACTTAATTTCTGTATATGCTGTATATACTGAACATGTATTTTGTAGAAATTGTCACAATTTTTAAAAAGTTAATTTATTGAAGGGGTAAAGGGAACTGACAAAATATATATGCATAGTCTTAACAGTTTATCTCAAACATAAAGAGAAACTTGAGACAATGATATGAACTTCAGCAAAAACATTTTATAGGCAGAGTATGTTTTAGTGTTTATAAAAGAAAGCTGAATTCTTTCTAAAGGGCTTTGTACCTACATACTCATATTCTGCAGGTATATAAGGGTGTGCTTAATTTTGAAAACGTCCAATATGATATTAGAATCAAATCTGTAAGACAAGTTAATGTTGACTAATGGGACTCACTAGTTTTTTAACTGCTTACATTCCAAAGTATTACATTTACATAGTTTTAGGTATTTATTGTGTAAAAGTAAATATATCTATATGTAAATGTATTTATGTGTGTATAACCTAAACTTAGCAAAAAGGTAATGCTATTTTTTAGGGTGTTCGGCTTACTGAAACTTTTTGACATCTTTTAAGTTTGAAAACCAAATACACAGAAGTTGGTTTCTATTAGGGTATATGTTATCACAGAGTGATAAAAATCAGTAATGGGACTGGAAGTAATATATCCATTCTAAACTGAATTTAATTCACTAGTTAAAAGACAA